TTTACAGAGTTAAAAAGAATACTTTACATCTATTACGTTAATAGTGACGAAATATTATTTGTATAAATAATTTATTATGAAATAATTAAAATAATAATAATAATATTAATTATAGCAATAATTAAATAATAATAATAATAATTAAATAACAATAATAATATTATAATTCACAAAGAATCATATTACCGTGATGTATTAATGAGAATAATATTAATAATATCAAAATTATTCATAAATAATTACAGTGTGTAAGCGGTTCTGTATCGACCCCCGCAATGAACGCCTTGTCTTGCGAGGGGTAAAAAGTCGCAGCCTTGACACACATTGATTTTCTCTCTGGATGCACTCGGAGCTGAGTCTTTTGGGCAGCTATTGGTTCCACTCACATCTGCAGGTTCTCCTAGTGGTGTGTGGCAACCCCCCGCCACTTACAGGTTCTCCTAGTGGTGTGTGGCAACCCCCCACCACTTACAGGTTCTCCTAGTGGTGTGTGGCAACCCCCCACCACTTACAGGTTCTCCTAGTGGTGTGTGGCAACCCCCCACCACTTACAGGTTCTCCTAGTGGTGTGTGGCAACCCCCCACCACTTACAGGTTCTCCTAGTGGTGTGTGGCAACCCCCCACCACTTACAGGTTCTCCTAGTGGTGTGTGGCAACCCCCCACCACTTACAGGTTCTCCTAGATGTGTATGGCAACCCCCCACCACTTACAGGTTCTCCTAGTGGTGTATGGCAACCCCCCACCACTTACAGGTTCTCCTAGTGGTGTATGGCAACCCCCCACCACTTACAGGTTCTCCTAGTGGTGTGTGGCAACCCCCCCCCCCCACCTCTTACAGGTTCTCCTAGTGGTGTATGGCAACCCCCCACCTCTTACAGGTTCTCCTAGTGGTGTATGGCAACCCACCACCACTTACAGGTTCTCCTAGTGGTGTATGGCAACCCCCCACCTCTTACAGGTTCTCCTAGTGGTGTATGGCAACCCACCACCACTTACAGGTTCTCCTAGTGGTGTATGGCAACCCCCCCACCTCTTACAGGTTCTCCTAGTGGTGTATGGCAACCCCCCACCACTTACAGGTTCTCCTAGTGGTGTATGGCAACCCCCCACCACTTACAGGTTCTCCTAGTGGTGTATGGCAACCTCCCACAACTTACAGGTTCTCCTAGTGGTGTATGGCAACCCCCCACCACTTACAGGTTCTCCTAGTGGTGTATGGCAACCCACCACCACTTACAGGTTCTCCTAGTGGTGTATGGCAACCCACCACCACTTACAGGTTCTCCTAGTGGTGTATGGCAACCCCCCACCACTTACAGGTTCTCCTAGTGGTGTATGGCAACCTCCCACCACTTACAGGTTCTCCTAGTGGTGTATGGCAACCTCCCACCACTTACAGGTTCTCCTAGTGGTGTATGGCAACCCGCCTCACCTGCATTAATGCTAATAGAGAGTTTCCATTACATTAATTCCCTCTTCATTTCCGTGTGCCTTTCCGACTTAGCATTCCTCTCCTAATTCTTTTCTCACACTTGCGAGCGATATATAAACGCACTCCTTCCATTCCTCCTCCTCTTCGATCCCAAGACAGGATTTGACATGTCTGAGGGGAAGATTCTGCACGCATCTTCACGAATGAGAAATATTTCAAAGTGAATGAGGTGATCCCGGATGTCATTCCCTTAGCTTAGGCAGACCAGATCCGTCACTGAAGTGTCCTCGGCGGCCACCACACCCTCTATGGTTGTTTTAAAGCTATAATGAATTATATATATTTTTGTTTGTAAAAGTCTGCAATGAATTAATTTCAGTCACTTCTTCACGTGACCGATTCCTTTCATGAGAGAGAGAGAGAGAGAGAGAGAGAGAGAGAGAGAGAGAGAGAGAGAGAGAGAGAGAGAGACCGAATGATAACAGTGACAGGAAAAAAAAGCCTAATCACTCGGCGGACCGTTTTGGGCTAATCTGCGTCTCTGATTCCCCGGTGTTCTCTGATCTCTTAGAAGCCTGTAATTGAATCCCACTCTCTTACTTCCTGCATGGACTCTCCATAAGGCAAAGGTCGAGTTAACTCCATCTGCCCCCTACAGGGATGTCCTGAAGACGCAGCAACACATATATATCCACATACGAACGGAAATGTCACACAAAGGGTATTTCACTCGACGAATGGTAGATTAGATATGGTTCCCTGTTTTCAGGCCACGTCGTTCCCAGCCTTGTCTTACTCTCGTTCGCTTAACTCAGCGAAACTCGCTAAGTCGCTCATACAAGCCTGATTCCTTAAGACGCCTACGTCGTCACTTTTATACCGAATTATCTTACAAACATAAACTATACATACAAATCTACTAGTGATTTGCTAGTGAAATACATTACTAAACTCACTTGCGCAACTACTAAGCTCGCTTAATTGCCCACCTTGCTGGTTTTTTGAGAAGTGAGCTCATTTATGTCTGTAGGTTAGATTAGCATTTTAAAAGCACTACAATCACCTTCCTTGGTGATTGTTCAATAAATCCCTGAATTATATGTTTAACAGATCTCTCACCCTGTCCATGGAGGACAGAAGAAAATGTATATATGCTGGTTAGTATTGTAAATGTGTGGCCACGACTGTAGTAGAAAATCCTGGCCGGGGAGGATTTACTGGGCGCAATTCCTTAACTGTAGCCTCTGTTTAACGCAACCGTAAAATGTGTACTTGGATGAAAAAACGATTCTTCGCGGCGGGGATCGTATTCCAGGGACCTGCCCGAAACGCTACGCGTACTAGTGGCTCTACAAGAATGTAACAACTCTTGTATATATCTCAAAAAAATAAATAAAAAAAAAGAACGTGTCAGTCTCTGGAGGGTTATTAATGCCCCCATACTCTACTGAACTATATAACAATATCTTACTGACCAGCCAATATATATATACCTTAGTCCTTAGCATAGATTAGTACGCAATTATTATACTCTGAAAAGTATATTCTCACCGGGGGAGCGGAATACACCTCCAGCTGTATGTATCACTGTGTATTGGTTGAGCAGACGCTGGGTGTAAGAATACTACGGGCTCACCATAGCCCGTGCTGCTTGGAACTTTTTGTTCCAAGTAGCAAATCTTGAACAACAACAACAAACGTAAGAATACTCTCCACCTAATCAACCTGGCATCGATCCAGCCATCCATCCAACCAGGTGCCCGAGGAGCCAAAATACCCCATCATAAACTGATTGACCAGGATTGATCAAGCACGTCCGTGTCCAGTCACGAAACCCGTTCATCTTTCGTCAGTCATGGCGGCTTAGGTTGTTTTTAATTAAACTGTTTACGAGCGTCGGAGTGCTACGAGGTTCGAAGGTTGTTTATATCAATTGAATTTGAAGAGGCAATAGGAACGTGAAAAGGGATAGATCAAAGTTAAATATCTCACCTTTCTTTTTCTTCTGCTCTGCTTTACTCATCCCAATTTGTGCTTTATTTTCGCTCACACCAGCCTGTGTGAGAATGTTTTCAGCCAGTTTACGAGGTCACCTTGAGAATGACCTCGTAAACTGTCGAATAAACTTATGACTTAACCGCAATGAACTAGGAAAGATGTACAGGTTTCCTAAAAAGACAGTTAAGTGACTAGTGAATCCGGATCCACATCATCTTGGCTCTCCTTGTGGTAAATCAGGCAGTTTTAAGAAAGACCAAAAAAATTTAGACAGACTAATGTTTAGACATTGATACGAACAGATAAGATTGACGCACAAACAGACGGGACAGACAGATAGACAGGCCTTATAAGTATCATACAATTATCGTTGTCTATTAAATAGGTTAAACATTATGTACAGAAACAGCAAGATGGTAGTAAATAGTTTGTGTAGATCCCCTATCGTGAATGATGACTTTTATCAAACCAAATTTAAATACTATCCTACCCTATGTTGATAAAACAAAACAGAGAACTGTGTATTAAAATGAACAAAAGGTAACGGAATCAAATCGTTTTGCAATAATGGGTGAAAAATCGGTAGACCAAACGCGTTCTTTTAAAGAGCCAATTACAGACTTGTGAGAAAGCCAGCTATGAGAGATTGAGGGGGGGGGTTGTCAGTGTTTCTTAAGGTCCCCCCCCCACCCCCAGGACAGGCCACGCTCAGTGGTGAAGGGAAGGGAACTATCAAGGGTAAAGTGCCAAGCCATCACGACTATATAGCACTGGGAAGGGATCAGGATAAGGAATTTGGGATGGGACGGTGGAAAGGAATGGTGCCCAACCACTTGGACGATCGGGGATTGAACGCCGACCTGCATGAAGCTAGACCGTCGCTCTACCGTCCAGCCCAAGTGGTTGAGGCTCAGTTCTTGATGATAATTCACATCTGCCAGGGGAGAGGCAGAGGTGCAGAGCAAGAAAAAAGGGTTGTAGAATATTCCCCTTTTTCCCTTCCTCCTTTCCCATCTTTCTTTACCCTCTTTTTTTCCCTTCCTCCTTTACCCTCCTCCTTTCCCCTCGTCCTTTCTCTTCGACATTATTATTTCTTTTACCATCAACATCGCTATTTTTGGCCTATCTTCCTCCAGGCTGTCGAAGGAGATGACCTCTCGCAATCGTCCACAGGTAAACCACTAATAAACAGGTAACCATCATCATCATCATCATCATCATCATCATCATCATTATCATCATCATTCCAACGTCACTAACTCGATGGTAAGCAAACGTCTAACGTTTCACGAATCTTTTTACCCCAAATAATTAACACAAAAACTACTAGATCCAGATTAGTATAAACATTGATAATCACGTAAACAGTATGCAGAAAATAGAGCACAAATTGGGATGAGTAAAGCAGAGAAGAAGAAAAAGAAAGGTGAGATATTTAACCTTATTCTATCCCTTTTCACGTTTCTATTGCCTCTTCAAATTCCTTGATTCTTATGTTATCTTAAGTTTCGTGATTTACTTAAGTAATTACCCTCTGACTTCCTCCTCACTTTCCTTATACCTCCCTCTCACTCTTGCTCAGTCACCACAGCGGCTGAGACACAGCGATTGGGACACAAATTATGTGCTACTGGAACGTGGCGGAACTTGAGATGTGCTACTGGAACGTGGCGGAACTTGAGATGTGCTACTGGAACGTGGCGGAACTTGAGATGTGCTACTGGAACGTGGCGGAACTTGAGATGTGCTACTGGTACGTGGCGGAACTTGAGATGTGCTACTGGAACGTGGCGGAACTTGAGATGTGCTACTGGAACGTGGCGGAACTTGAGATGTGCTACTGGTACGTGGCGGAACTTGAGATGTGCTACTGGTACGTGGCGGAACTTGAGATGTGCTACTGGTACGTGGCGGAACTTGAGATGTGCTACTGGTATGTGGCGGAACTTGAGATGTGCTACTGGAACGTGGCGGAACTTGAGATGTGCTACTGGTACGTGGCGGAACTTGAGATGTGCTACTGGAACGTGGCGGAACTTGAGATGTGCTACTGGTACGTGGCGGAACTTGAGATGTGCTACTGGTATGTGGCGGAACTTGAGATGTGCTACTGGTACGTGGCGGAACTTGAGATGTGGTAGTTGAGTATAACATGAACAAGAACGTTCGTATATGGACCAGGTATTGAACAAGTCCTTCCTAGTGACCTAGTTGACCTAATCACAAAAAAAAACTGTGTAAATACACCTCTTATGTATTTTCCCAGCGTGGCAACACACCAACAAATACACACAAATGTATACAAATATACATCAGAGGAATATATTTATTCCTCTGTGTATAGAAAGTTACGAGCATGTTTCTTGCAAGTCAATGTTTCTTCCTCCCTTGTTTAAACATGATCTCAAGACGGGGCAAGGTGGGTACAGTGAGCTTGGGTTGGCCCCGTTCAAGTGCTCCTACAGGACCTCCTTAGACAGGGGGACATGTCATGGTTATGAACGTGAGAATGATCTTGTTGAGTGACTCTTCTAGGGGCCATCTTGGAGAGGGAGAAATGCACAGTGGATGTAGGTATGATTAGCCGATCAATCTATGCTGTTGGAGAAAGAGAAGAGGAGAGAGATAGGGAAAAACAGAGAGGAGGGGGTAAAAAAAGGAGAGAGAGGGAAAGAGGAGAGAGTGACAGAGACAAATGATAGACACTGCAGTACGGGATGGAAAGGCAATCACCTTAAGGAAAGGTGAAGACGGACTGAGGAATCGACGATTGAGATAATATTAATGATATGGAACAAAAAATTATGTAAGTTATATATTCAGTAGTAATGATAAGAATATTGCCATGATTCAAAAGGCTTAACAATATCAGAGTCGACTTACAGGCCTAAAAAGTCGACTTACAGGCCTAAAAAGTCGACTTACAGGCCTAAAAAGTCGACATACAGGCCTAAAAAGTCGACTTAAAGACTTCAAGTAAATATATATGTAAATATATTTATTCAAAATGTTCAAAGACTTCACAGTCGACTTATAGATTTCAAAAATAGCTTATTGACTTCAAAGTCGTTGTCGGATTATAAACTATAAAGTCCAAATTATGGCCTTCTAAGACGTCTTATATATAGATTCACTTCAAAGTCGCCTCATAGAAATCTTTTCCAAAATTTCAGCTGCAAGATTGACAACATTACAATCTCCCTCACCGCTCATATCTCATCGGCCATTTTGCGACGATATAGTCTGTGGTGATTGTGGTTCAATGACACACATACTCCTTAAATTCCGGGTTCGACTCCACGAGATGGCCAGATGGGGACCAAATACGTTGGTTCGAGTCCTTTTTCTTGTTGTTAGAGGTAAATATTTCGGTCAATGACTGCTGAGAGTTCCGCTCGTTAATATTACGAGCATAGATGTAAATATTTTGTCAATTAATTCTCTTTTGGTAACGTTAAATTCACAAGTTTTAAATAGTAAATTCTGTTTTTTGATATATATAATTTTCCCTACACAGTAGCTCGAGCAGTTGCTACTGTGACTAACTACTGTTAATAACTACTGCCCGTAATTATTGTACCTAACAATCTCCACTAATAACTGTCCCTAATTACTGCTCCTAACTCCCTACCATAACTACTACTTTCAATCACTTCCCCTAACTACTGTCACAAACTACTTTAACTAACTACTGTCCCTAACTGCTGCCTTTAACTGCTACCCCTAGTTACTGCACCTAAGAATTGTCCCATAACTACTGTCCCCTAACTAGCGCTCTCTAAGGCTCCTAACTACTGCACCTCATTAAATAACGTACCTCACCTAACTCTGTCACCAATTACCAAAACTACCAAATTACTGGACCTAACAATTACTAAAACTAACTATTGTACCAAATTACTGGACCTAATTAACACCTGGGAATCAGGATTATAATTAATTTCAATCCCAATCATCGTGTATTGTGTCTGTGTGTTGCTGTGGTGGTGGAGCCATGTCTGTTTGTTGCTGTGGTGGTGGAACCTTGTCTGTGTGTTGCTGTGGTGGTGGAACCTTGTCTGTGTGTTGCTGTGGTGGTGGAACCTTGTCTGTGTGTTGCTGTGGTGGTGGAACCTTGTCTGTGTGTTGCTGTGGTGGTGGAGCCATGTCTGTGTGTTGCTGTGGTGGTGGAGCCATGTCTGTGTGTTGCTGTGGTGGTGGAGCCTTGTCTGTGTGTTGCTGTGGTGGTGGAACCTTGTCTGTGTGTTGCTGTGGTGGTGGAATCTTGCCTGTGTGTTGCTGTGGTGGTGGAGCCATGTCTGTGTGTTGCTGTGGTGGTGGAACCTTGTCTGTGTGTTGCTGTGGTGGTGGAATCTTGTCTGTGTGTTGCTGTGGTGGTGGAGCCATGTCTGTGTGTTGCTGTGGTGGTGGAGCCATGTCTGTGTGTTGCTGTGGTGGTGGAACCTTGTCTGTGTGTTGCTGTGGTGGTGGAGCCATGTCTGTGTGTTGCTGTGGTGGTGGAGCCATGTCTGTGTGTTGTGGTGGTGGTGGAACCTTGTCTGTGTGTTGCTGTGGTGGTGGAGCCATGTCTGTGTGTTGCTGTGGTGGTGGAACCTTGTCTGTGTTGCTGTGGTGGTGGAATCTTGTCTGTGTGTTGCTGTGGTGGTGGAGCCATGTCTGTGTATTGCTGTGGTGGTGGAGCCATGTCTGTGTGTTGCTGTGGTGGTGGAACCTTGTCTGTGTGTTGCTATGGTGGTGGAACCTTGTCTGTGTGTTGCTGTGGTGGTGGAATCTTGTCTGTGTGTTGCTGTGGTGGTGGAGCCATGTCTGTGTGTTGCTGTGGTGGTGGAACCTTGTCTGTGTGTTGCTGTGGTGGTGGAACCATGTCTGTGTGTTGCTGTGGTGGTGGAGCCATGTCTGTGTGTTGCTGTGGTAGTGAAGCCATATCTGTGTGTTGCTATGGTGGTGGAACTTTGTCTGTGTGTTGCTGTGGTGGTGGAACCTTGTCTGTGTTGCTGTGGTGGTGGAACCTTGTCTGTGTGTTGCTGTGGTGGTGGAGCCATGTGTGTGTGTTGCTGTGGTGGTGGAACCTTGTCTGTGTGTTCCTGTGGTAGTGGAACCTTGTCTGTGTGTTGCTGTGGTAGTGGAGCCATGTCTGTATGTTGCTATGGTGGTGGAACCTTGTCTGTGTGTTGCTGTAGTGGTGGAATCTTGTCTGTGTGTTGCTGTGGTGGTGGAGCCATGTGTGTGTGTTGCTGTGGTGGTGGAACCTTGTCTGTGTGTTCCTGTGGTAGTGGAACCTTGTCTGTGTGTTGCTGTGGTAGTGGAGCCATGTCTGTGTGTTGCTATGGTGGTGGAACCTTGTCTGTGTGTTGCTGTGGTGGTGGAATCTTGTCTGTGTGTTGCTGTGGTGGTGGAATCTTGTCTGTGTGTTGCTGTGGTGGTGGAACCTTGTCTGTGTGTTGCTGTGGTGGTGGAACCTTGTCTGTGTGTTGATGTGGTGGTGGAACCTTGTCTGTGTGTTGCTGTGGTGGTGGAATCTTGTCTGTGTGTTGCTGTGGTGGTGGAATCTTGTCTGTGTGTTGCTGTGGTGGTGGAATCTTGTATGTGTGTTGCTGTGGTGGTGGAGCCATGTCTGTGTGTTGCTGTGGTGGTGGAACCTTGTCTGTGTGTTGCTATGGTGGTGGAACCTTGTCTGTGTGTTGCTGTGGTGGTGGAGCCATGTCTGTGTATTGCTGTGGTGGTGGAGCCATGTCTGTGTGTTGCTGTGGTGGTGGAGCCCTGTCTGTGTGTTGCTGTGGTGGTGGAACCTTGTCTGTGTGTTGCTGTGGTGGTGGAACCTTGTCTGTGTGTTGCTGTGGTGGTGGAGCCATGTCTGTGTATTGCTGTGGTGGTGGAGCCATGTCTGTGTGTTGCTGTGGTGGTGGAACTTTGTCTGTGTGTTGCTATGGTGGTGGAACCTTGTCTGTGTGTTGCTGTGGTGGTGGAATCTTGTCTGTGTGTTGCTGTGGTGGTGGAGCCATGTCTGTGTGTTGCTGTGGTGGTGGAACCTTGTCTGTGTGTTGCTGTGGTGGTGGAGCCATGTCTGTGTGTTGCTATGGTGGTGGAACCTTGTCTGTGTGTTCCTGTAGTGGTGGAATCTTGTCTGTGTGTTGCTGTGGTGGTGGAGCCATGTCTGTGTGTTGCTGTGGTGGTGGAACCTTGTCTGTGTGTTCATGTGGTAGTGGAACCTTGTCTGTGTGTTGCTGTGGTAGTGGAGCCATGTCTGTGTGTTGCTATGGTGGTGGAACCTTGTCTGTGTGTTGCTGTGGTGGTGGAATCTTGTCTGTGTGTTGCTGTGGTGGTGGAATCTTGTCTGTGTGTTGCTGTGGTGGTGGAATCTTGTCTGTGTGTTGCTGTGGTGGTGGAGCCATGTCTGTGTGTTGCTGTGGTGGTGGAACCTTGTCTGTGTGTTGCTGTGGTGGTGGAACCTTGTCTGTGTGTTGCTGTGGTGGTGGAATCTTGTCTGTGTGTTGCTGTGGTGGTGGAATCTTGTCTGTGTGTTGCTGTGGTGGTGGAGCCCTGTCTGTGTGTTGCTGTGGTGGTGGAACCTTGTCTGTGTGTTGCTGTGGTGGTGGAACCTTGTCTGTGTGTTGCTGTGGTAGTGGAGCCATGTCTGTGTGTTGCTGTGGTAGTGGAACCTTGTCTGTCTGTTGCTGTGGTAGTGGAGCCTTGTCTGTGTGTTGCTGTGGTGGTGGAGCCATGTCTGTGTGTTGCTGTGGTGGTGGAGCCATGTCTGTGTGTTGCTGTGGTAGTGGAGCCTTGTCTGTGTGTTGCTGTGGTAGTGGAACCTTGTCTGTGTGTTTCTGTGGTGGTGGAGCCATGTCTGTGTGTTGCTGTGGTGGTGGAGCCATGTCTGTGTGTTGCTGTGGTGGTGAAGCCATGTCTGTCTGTTGCTGTGGTAGTGGAGCCTTGTCTGTGTGTTGCTGTGGTAGTGGAGCCATGTCTGTGTGTTGCTGTGGTGGTGGAGCCTTGTCTGTGTGTTGCTGTGGTGGTGGAGCCATGTGACATCTCTGGTAAATATGAGTAGAATCCTTATTATTAATTTCGTTCAAAATATCCTCAAAATACACATTAAAAAATTATAGAAGAGGGCAGACTCTTGCCC